GCTGAGTGGAGTTTGCAGGAATATAGTTGTGCAGGTCGACAAGCTTTGGGAAGAAATGTTTGACAACCTCTGCAGCCATCACTACAGAGGAGTCAGGGGAGATAAACAAACAAGAGGAGAAAGCAGATTAAACAGAGGTCATTTTTTACTCCCGCTGTTTATTATGTTTATTTAAACCTGCATGGGGACTGTTAGCTAATCTAAACAGCTAATTTAACAAACCTCCATCACTGAAGTCTCGGGTGATGTTTCTTTTGGGCCGGGAAAGAGGGATTTTGTCTATCCAGGCGTATAAATCCTGCAGTTCCTCTTCAGTCAGTTCTCGGTCCATTTTTTTTTTCCTTCTTTAAGCTACATCTGTTTTTTGAGGAAAGTTTGTTGAGCTCCAAAGTCTCTGACAGAGCAAGTTAGCTTGTTAGCTTCCCCACCACCCCGAGAACTGGTTGTTTGGAGCGTTGCTAGGCGACCGCTGATACAAAAAAAATATATATATAGACCACGCCGGTTAATGGCTCTCCAGGTGAAGAGACGTACACAATTGCACCTTTTTTTTTTCATGATTCATTTTTATTGTAAGCTCAGTCTTACAGAATAAAGAAGAAATCTCAATAAATAAGAGGAAAATACATTAAAAAAAAAAAAAGATTTCAAAGTTCTCAGGAAAGGAAACAATCATTGGCATTATCAGGCGAGAAGTGTGTGATATGTCTGCTGCATAGAAAATGTGATAGGCTATAAAATACCTTGAAGACAAAAACAGGTAGCCTATCGAGTCAACATACAAAAAAACCCCAAAGAAACTGAATGTAGGCCTACTTCAGTCTGACAAAGTCAAGCATACCTAAATTAGTACGACAAAAAGTTGAGAAGAGGTCGCAACATTTGTGGTTTATTCCTTAATAAGAAAATCTGTAAAGTGCCCAAGTTGGTGCAATATCTTTTAAATCCCTTAACAACATTATTTCTTTAAAAAAGCAGTACCAAAACAACGTGAAAGGATAGTAACAGTTGGTAAAACAGTTACAGCATTCATAGTGCAATAGCCTTGTAAAGTCTTCACATATTCAAGGATCAAGGCAGAGACACATTTCCCTTAAAAGAAAAAACAAATAACATCATGGCAGCAGAGCCATTTGTCATATACAAAGCACAGACTTGCAGTCTGTCAATCATGGCTTCAGGTTTTCATCAACATACTGAAGGCTTACATAAGCAAGACACAGACGGCGGTAATCTTCAGGGAGATGATAACTGACAGAAAAGCTCCATCACTTATTATTGCAGACCCTTCAGTGGATCCCATCTCCACTTTAGAAACAGACAAGTGTCTCCTGAGAGGATCTTTAGGTTCTTCTCAGTGGGACGACAGCAGTGTTTGCCGTCAGAGATCTTGGTGTTTACATCAGGCTGAATTACTCCCTCTGTCATCTTGGCCTGCCGGGGGGCATCAGGGCAGCTCTGCCTGCAAGCTAAAAAAAACAAACAAGAAGGTTACAGTTAAAAAACACACTAATGTGTTGTCTGTCTCTTAGGGTGCATTCATACCTAGGCCCTTTGGTCCGTTTGAAACGAACAAACAATTTAACGACTACTGGAGAGAAGCTAGAGCCAGAATTAGAATAAACATGATCAGAGTGTTCGGTATGTTTATGACGTTTACGATTTCAAGAACTATTTTATGTGGTCGACATGTTTTTTTCCTTTTTCTTTTGAACTTTGTGTTTAGTGGTGTTGCTTTAGTTGTCCAGTTTTGCTCTAACTATATTGTTTTGTTGCACCATGCAGGTATACAAAGTTTTGATATCTACAAAAGAACTTACAATTGTTGTAAAGCTTTGGGTGTATTGAATAGGCCTACCCTCTAAAAAGTACCCAAAAGAACAAAGAAATCACTCAGTCACTGCATGCTTTTTTCTCTCCCAGCAACACAACACAAAAGTCCACTAGCTACATTTACTGACTCACTAACACTGAGCCACCGCTTGTTCATTACACTGCTATGTTGGAAGAATATCCAAAACCGCAGACCTCTCTGAAAACGTGAGTGCCCTGAATAAAATAAGGAATGTCTGAATGCCAGGATTTGGAGGACTTTTAGGAGAGTCTGACGGCTGTCTGAATATCTGAATACCCACCAGGAGAGTATGAGGCAGAGGAGACGGCGCTGCAGAGGGCTTCGGCTTCACTGGGGGCATGGGCGGCTTAGGCTTCGAGATCTAAGAAGAGCAGATGTTCAGGTTACAGACACAGAGGTTTAGCAGTTATACTTTAAACCCATTAAAAGGTCAAATAAGTTGAAATGTTATACACATCACTCACCGGTTTAGTTGCAAGTGGTGGCAGGGGTCTTGAGGGAGGAAGTGGCTTACTCTGACAAAGAAGACACAAAAACTAAATTAAGACACTGAATATGATGTTTAATGAGGAAAAAACAAGATATTACTTTTAAGAATATAATAAATATTGTTCAGTGATATGTGCAATTACCTCAGTGTAGATTGGCTTGCTTGAAATGTTTGATTGCTGCATAAAGGGCCTTATAACCTAAAGAAAAAACATGAATTTAATGATTAAAATACTTTAGACACAAACAAAGGTCTGCAACTTTAAATACAAATACTGTAACACTTAAATAAAGACTAAACAGTGACTCAAACTACCTGCTGCATCTTGGACGGCTGAGGTACTGCTCCAGCTTTCTTTGGTGGCTGTGAGGAGACAAAAACAGAGAACGGTGATTGAAAAATCATGAATCAGCTTTGTTGCAGCTTACTGGATAAAAAGACTCATGATTAAAATATGATTTATTCTAAATATTGAAATGTCAAATAAAGTACACAAGAAAAAAGAATATAAAGATGGGAGTATTTGAGACGATGGTGACAAATACAATAAATAAAAACAATGGGTAACATTGGATCCAAGGTGCTCTCAGGTAGTCGGTGTGTGGTTTAGAAAAAAGGATTCAAATAAATAAATGCACTTGATGTTTTTTTATTTCTTTACAGACTTTTTTATCCTCTTTGCAAAGACAGATCCTCTTTATCATTTTCTAAAGGCTGGTCCCTTATAGTTTAATTTAATTTGCTTATTTATTTATCAGTCTGTTTGTTATTAGTATTTCTTTAAATATTTTCTCGCTTTTATTGTTGTCTATCTGTTGTGTCTTTATGTCTTTTATTGACAAGCTAAGCCAATTGTCCCAAGGGGGATAAATAAAGTGGTTTGAACTAAACTGAATTAAATGACTAAAAGGTTGAAATGTACAGTAAGATTGCATCTCTTCACTCTGCTTAAATGAACACTCACCTCTGGAGCTGCTCTGCTGGGCTTCAGTCCTCCGGTTTGGGGTTTAGCAGAAGCGGAGCTCAGAGGTTTGCAGACCTGAGATGCTGAAGACTCCACAAATATGGGCTTGCTGATCTGCGTGGATCCGACCCGAGGGTTGCTGCGAGTGCTGCTGGACCGAAACACGGGGTTGAATTGTCCTGAGGTAGATTGGCGCCGTCTATGAAGAAACATCCACAGAATCCAAAGTTAAAGAGGGACAGGATTAAAAGTTTGATCTCTGTGGTGAAATGTGGAATCACTTTTTTTCTGTACCTCTTTGCAGGTCGCCTTTTTTTCACGCAGCACATCAGACCCCCGATAAACCCAACCAAGAGCAGGAGACAGCCAATCGCAAGAGACACAGCTAACACCACCGGACCTGCATCTGCACACACATGCACACATATTAATTATGATCATATATTTTCATTGCCTGAGATAGGAAGTAACAGAGTACAAATACTTTTTTACTGGACTCAGGTTGTTTTCAAGTTTCTATACTCCTCATACTCCTCTAACTTCCTGACAACTTTTTACTTTAAAGGTCACATACTGTGCAAAATAAACATTACCATGTTTTTCAAACACTAATATGTGTCCCTAGACTGTCTTCAAATCCCCCAATGATGAGAAAAGTCCATCTTTTACCACTTTTGCCTGCTCCACTTTTCAGAAAATGTGTGCTCAAACAGGCTGTTTGCAGATTTTGCCTTCATGACATCACAAAGGGCAGTAACCCCTCCCCCAGGTGGGTGACACTCCCACAGCTAAGTGTTAGTTCTGCCCTCTGAGTCTGCCTTCTCAACGTTAACAATAAGGCATGGAGTGAGAAAGCCTACGCCATCTAAGCCCTTCTAGAGGGGCGTGGTCAAACACAGCTCACTTGAACTTAAAGCTGCAGACACAGAAACAGCCTGTTCTGAGCAGGGCTGAAATAGAGCCATCTCCCCAACATCAACAGCAATTTCAAACCCAGGGAAATGGATGATAACACATACAGATGAAGATTCCTTGCTATCCATCAGTCTAAATCATGCTTGACGAAATTTTAAATGTTAAAATAACATGAAAGACGTAACAAGACAAAATGCACAAAATGAAAAGTTCCTCAGGGGATTGCTGTTGGTACATATCTGATCCTGTACTTTTTCTCTCTCAGTTAAATTTTGAGGTTTTATCAGTACTTCTACCTCTACTAGAGTCTGTATTAATTCTTTGTATTAAGCTTTTTAACATGAATATCTGGGTTTCTACTTGACTAAAGAATGTGGGTACTTTTGCCAGCTCTATTTGTTGCTTGAGGACGAGCATTTGGCAACATACGTCACCTGCTAAGGAAACAGAACGATCTGTGTAATGCCATTACTGCATTTGACTAACAGGGGAATTCCATCATATCAGTGTCTGTTTGTGCTCATCAGAACAGAGCGCAATTGTTTCAGAGTCCATGAGAAGTCTCTGCTTCAAGTATTGAATCTTGGTGAGAAACAGAGACGCAGTGTAAAGTGTGGTCATTTAGGAGGTCAGACAGATAAAGAGGCAGGCACACAGATCATGACCATCAGCGCTCACATCTGTGGACAGACAAGCATGACATGTGCCGTACCTTCAAGCAGCTCTGACTGCTGCACGTCACAGTAAGGTGGGGCCCAGCCGGGATTGCAGTGACACTTCCTCTCGTGGTTACAAACCTGCAGGAAATGGCACACCCACAGTCATTGTCAAATCAATTTCACAACAATTTCATATTAACAACATGTACTTTTTGAAAACAGAAAGAAAAGTGTGTGAGAATATTTCTTGTTTGGTATTTTTATTGATTTATCTTCAAATTGTTTACTCCTCTTTGTGTTTCTTTTCTTTTTTTTACAAATGAAAAAAAGGGACAATCAATTACACATATTTATTCACACGTAAATACCCCCTATTTTTTTTAATTTTTGTTATTTGTTTTGTTTTTGTGTTTGTGTTTCTTCATGTATTTTTATAGCCGTTGTTGTACTACACTATGGATTCATCATCTGCTTCTTTTGTGTTTGCTCTCGAATGCCAAAGTTAGTAACGTTCCTTGCTCAGCTGCAGTATTTTAAGGTGAACATGTTTCTTACCCCGTTGTTGTTGCATTTGGCTGAACAGCCATC